TGGTTGGGCCAAGCCGGACAATTTCTATCAAAAGATCAGCAAAAATACTTGCCTGGGGTAGCTTTTTATCATCATCAGAAAGCATGTCCATAGCACTCCAAAAAATGGTTTCTATGTTCACTTTCTCATCTTCCTCGTTGAGATCCATTTTAGCCATCTGAACAAGAAGGCAAGAACCATCATCTCCACATAGAAGAAATGAATTGTTCGTATCACAGTGCAGGGAATTGGAATGCAAGACAAAAAGAAAATTGCGGATAAACCAAACCAACAGATTCAAAGCAATTTGATTCCTACATGATGTAATGGTGCCAAATTCATAATCATTGTAATTCAAGGAAAAGTTGTACTGCTCACTTCACGTAAACACCTTCATTATAACATGTTCCGCTGAAGAACTTACAACTTGTTACGCAAAAAATCATGAAAACGGTCTTCAAATGCCGATTGCAACGACCGCAACAACAACAAAATAGTCTTTTCCCACTAAAAGAAGTCAAGTCACATGGATCCTCCTACACTGTTGTTCTTTGTCATTGATAACTAGCCCAAACATTTACCTGCATGGCAAGAAATTCACACTCTCTTTTGCTAAAGCTGAAACATATGACTGGATCATATTGACGCTGAATGATCATTTTCACCATCTTAAATATGTCACTTTCTTCACCAACTCGACCAGTCACCAAACTCTTCTGCCATTTCCCATTCTCTCTTTTCTTATCACTCTCACCAGCTGGAACCAAAGCATTTAAAGCTTTCTGAAAGCTATCTTCACGAAATTTTCCTTTCTCATCCACCACCAAGTACAGACCATCACCTCCAGAAGGAAAAATGTAATGTTGAAGGGGTGTTGGCCGGTAATCAGTGTAAACAATATGACATGGTTGCTGGTGTACCTGCAATTATATAACAACTTCCTTGATATGGGTCCGCATGCTTATGAAACATAGGAACTGGAAAGAAGAATAAAAGAAAATAATTTGAAAATTTAGACCACACGTTCCCAGATTTAATGCTTATACAACAAATTACTTGGTTTTTTGCATCTCCACGGTTATCAATCCTGCCCCTCCCAAATGAAAATATTTACCCACGTCCTATTAACATAAGAACTGGAAAGGTGAATAAAAAGTAATGATTTGAAATTAATCCCTCAAAATAATAGAAAATCATTCTGACTTTATATAAAAGGAGATAATGACATTAGGATATCCAGGACAACCTTCGCAACCCAGTCTGCAAATTCTTTGGCGTTGGGCACTGTTGCTGAAAGGAATACGAAGCGAGAATTCTTTGGCGCCATAACTATGCTCTCTTCCCACACCACACCTCGCTCCCTATCACGCATGTAATGTACCTCATCAAATATTATCCAAGCCACCTCCCTCATTATTTCTGATCCTTTGTATTGCATGCTCCGCCAAATTTCAGTGGTCATTACCTAAATCACAAGTACTTTCAAAATCCGTAACACTTAAATAGCAAAAGGAACACATCCACTTTAACCAAAAGCATACCAAGCAAGAAGCATTAGGCTCAATGGTTACATCCCCAGTCATCAAGCCAACATCCGAGAACTCTTCTTTGAACTCCCTATACTTCTGATTGCTCAGTGCCTTAATGGGAGCTGTGTATATGACACGTTGCTTATTCCCCAAGGACATGGCGATAGCATACAATGCAACGACTGTTTTACCAGCCGACGTATGGGCTGACACCTGCAAGCACATAGAATCGTATCATAAATCATCTAACGGACAGAAAATGCTAAAGCTAGAAGTGCTAACGATATAAAAAGAACCCTGATTGTCAATGCAGTCTGAAACCACAATGTATAAGTTATCCAAGTAGATTGCCCAGCAAATCTCATACAAGACGCTTACTCGATCATTTAAAGCTCAAAGATGAATTCACCGAGACGTCATCCAATCAATCAATCAATCAATCAATCATACTAATACCAAGCTTTCTCGAAAACCTATTTTGCATACTTCTCCAAGGACATAGGAATACTAAAAACAGCATGAAGTATAAATTTCAAAGCCTGAACAGACAGAAAGAAAGTAAATTACCATAACGGACTCGCCATTGTCGAGGCACTTGATAGCTTCGGACTGGAAAGGGTCGAGCGTGAAAGGGAACTCCTTCGCCGGCGGCTCCGAATGATCCCGAGAACTCGACGAGCGCGGCGGCTCCGCAACGTAACCCTCCGGATACGACACGTCGTGCACGCAAGCCACGGCATCGTCGCCGCCGTCTCGCGGCTGCTTCGGCGGTGGAGGTAGGGCATCGCCACCCGAGTCGCCGCCAATCGATTTCCTCTTCAGCGACCCCATTCGCACTTCGAATCCAACTCAACTCAAAACTTGAACCCCCTCTCGACAAAAGCAAACGGCGGATGGGAAAGAAGCGAAATTGGACGCTTCTTGAGAAGCGCAGAGACGCGACGGTGGTCTATCACAACCTCCACGGCGGCGGCGGCGGCGGCGGCGGCGGCAATGGAGGCTCAGCGGCGGGAACGCGAGAGAGACGAAGAAGGAGAGAGAGGAGTACAAGAACGCTGCTTAAAACGCACCGTCTTCAACTCTTCGTATTCGTAATCCACCCTTCTGTTTTCTCCGAATTTCACTTTAGCCCCCAGAATTCCTCCACTATTACACATTGAACCATAAATTAGAAAGTTCATTCATTCGACCCCTCAGCTCCCCCCCAAATGTTTACACCCTCCACATTGAATTATTACACTGAGCTCCCTCGACTCGAACTTACATATAATTTCTGCCAATAACGTACGCAATACTTTCAGTCAAAGCATGCGATGCACGTGACTCTTGATTTAAAAATTTGAGACCTTTATGGGCGGAAATGCCTTCAACTTCTAATGTAACCTTCTAACGGCAAGAATGTCAATTTTTAAGGAAGTTAATTCGCCAAATTGAGATTCGTTCTTCTACAACGGGCATTTGATGGATGCTTTATTGATTCTCTTTATTCTTTGGATTTGACTTTGTTTTGCAATATTGTGAGCTTTACTCTATATCGATTTGCTTTGCTATGAAGTTTATGTACTTCTCATATATCCTTTTGAATAATGAACAAAATTTTCGTTCAACTAAAAAAAAAATTGCCAAATTGCTTGAACCTTCGAAGTGCGAAGATTGGGGTATTGAGCAAGAGTGATACAATGGATGTCTACATGCATGCTTGTGTCCTTGCCCATCACAACCGTTCACAGTCACATACAAATGGTAGTTAAGCATGCTCATGTTAAGTTTAAACCGGGCAATTCGTTTATACATGAACAACGCACATTTTTGTGTGCATGTTCGTTCTTTTAAACCCGTTTTATGACATGAGAAAACACGTTTAGTTTGGTTATAAAGTCATTTGTATCAATACGACCACATCGCAAACGACTTTTGTCGTATGAACACTCGAATTAAATCTCTATTTCTCTCATTTTGGGAAATCTTCACCAATCTCCCTCTTTCCATATACATACGTTCCATCACGGTTTTCCCTTCCCATCCGTGTAGACATAGTTTAGAGATTGTGACTTTGGTCTCCACCCACCTTTTGTGGCAAAAGAAAGCCCCAACATGACATCGAAAAATTGCAAACATTCCAATCGTTCGACCCTCTGTTATCGAAATGGTTATGGTATGAGCCCATGCAGATCTTAGCGATCGAATCACGTGGATCCAACATGACTCAATAGTTAAGATCGTTGACCTGTTCAATCATATCTCATTACTGTCTCGCAAGTGAAATTCATGCGCATGGAATGCAAATATTTCATCTGAACATACTCACAAGGGGCAAATGAAAATTAGTCCTAAACTCAGTGGAGCTATGTACATTTTGTTCATGCCTTACAGTCTGAAAACAGAGAACAACCATGGCCTTAAAAAGGAGTTTCATACAGGACTCTCAAGAGTAATCTCGATAAGCTCTCACTAGCACTTTTTTTTATCCAGATGCCATGAAGTGAACCTTCAAGTCAGCTTCTTTATATAGACAAGTAGTGCGACCAGCAAGACTGGAACACTTGCACCAAAAGTTATGGACAATGCAAGGCTCGCTCCGACTCTTTGACTGCTGTACTTTCATGGGGCCTTTTCAGCAAAAGGTCCTGCAGGTGGGACGCTGTTCCCAAGAATCTGTACTTTGGTCGGGACTATGTGAGCGTTTCCCCATGGCTTGATCAACTTCTGTCCCTTGATCTCCTTCATTGACCAGTCTCCACACAAAATTTCTCGAGATTATTCACACGGCAAGATTGTTGTCAACAGGTTTTTATTTCTAGGGAGTGTGCCTCTTCTCAGAAGATGATTGCAGAGAAAATCTTTGACCGATTTCTTAGAGATCATGGTAATCTAAATCACCATCACAACCTTCAGCCACTGCAGCACATCTACTTTGCCTGCCTACCGCTCTGAGACCTCTCCGAATCCCATTCTGAATCCTCCAGTCTCTATTTTTCTGGATCCCAACGGTCCCACATATCATAGGACAATGAATCATTATCGCTGGATCCAGATCTTTTGTTGTGTTTCGAGCCTCCATGCTTGCTGTAACCATCATGTCCGTCCCTGCTAGAACGGTGTAAAGGGAAATCAGTGTCGTGGGTTCTTTCTGATCTGTCCTCATGCTTTGTTGTCTTGTGCCTTATAGTATGTCTTCTTGAACGGGCACGATGTGCTTCCTTATCCTCATCCATGTCTGATTTACTCCAGTCAGATTCAACACTATACCTTGTCCTCTTGATGTCCCCATTTTTATCTGGAGAAACTGAATCATTCCCATCTCTTGAGCTTTTCCTCGCATTGCCATGCCACCTTTCCTCATCTGTGTCAACGGCTAGTCGATGACCATCCTCATCTCGAGGAGTTCTTCTACGGCTGCGATGACGGTTCTTGAGGTTCATCTTTTCGTTCTTGTCATCAAACTTCATCTGCTCTTCATCACGCTCTTGATGCGTTGCATTTCGAATGCCATTTTTCTCATTATGGCTCTCTTTGGATCTTCCTGAACTCAAGTAATCCTTTTCCCTTGATCTAGATCTCCTTGTGTGACCCCTACCAACGATAAGGAAAATCAGATGGAGATGCAACTTTATAGACAATAGATGCCATAAAGTCAAAAAATGAAAAAACCACCAACTATTCATCACAAGATGAAGATAAGAAATCGCAGCCAGATTGACTACTAAACCGAAGCTAGCTAGCACAAGGAACAATATGGGTCCATTAATTTCAATCATAATAATAAAGGACATCACATCTGTTTTTATATCACATCTGTTTTGAAGCCCTTCCCCAAATACTTCGTATATGATTATCAGTTTTAACCTTGATGTATCTTCATACGAAGCTTTGGCAGCTTTACAAAAAGTATGTACAATCAATTTAATTTCTTAAGCAGCTGTGAATTAAAAAAGAAAATTCCTAAGATGTCAATAGATATCTGACAACTAGACAACATGGAATTGGTTGGAGAAAAAGTACACGTGTCCCAGATTCCTAATAATAGTGGACACGGAGTGACAAATGACATTTTGTTGGATTTCAGTTGCTCAAATATATTTGTTTCACTAAACAGCTGAATTACTATAACTCTGTAATGAACATCTGTTATACCACTGAGGTGTTGAGATTGCTCTTGTTTGCCTGAACTACCAAATTCAAGTCGTCCTCCTGCACTGACTCGTGTCTCAATTTCTTAAATCCTAAAGGTTTAATGACCAATAGTGTCTATAACATGTAGTATTGCAAAACCATGGAAATCTCAGCTATCATACTCGTGTGCTAGCCTTTATCTAAAAGGTTCGTCACTCACACAAATTATCAACACCCACGATTTGTGAGAATAATATGTGAACTCCACAAAAGAACTAAGGACCCCCTATTTTCCTCCGTCCATTATTAACTTATGAGGGATTTAGTGCAGGAATCGATACAGATTTACATGATCTGGAAATGTGCACACAAACATTTTATCAAAGGAATTGTAATTGCAGCAAGTTACAACCCTTGAGATTTTAGTATTCTTGTGACTTTGAGTATGGTTAAAAAGTGGCTTATTTAGAGTGAGAGAAATTTGAGGTGTTTGAGAGTCTACAGTCTAATTTTGTTGATGAAAATAATAGATGGTTAAAGGTTTTGATTTTTTATTTTTTGGGTTACTAAAAAACCACTTTTCTTAGTAAGGGCTTTTCCAAAGTATACTGCACATACAGCCAAGAGAAAACAAACCTCTTTGAATCAAAGCTGATGTTATTGCTAGAGTTTCTCCGTCGATCCACATTTACTGGTATTTTCACCTCCCCTTGATAGTTTTCCAGAGAATAACCAAATAAAGCAGTCATCTTACTGACCCAGTACTTAGGAGGTGATTTATCCCAGTCAGCCCACTCATAATCGCCACCCGGATTGCGGAAACAGTGAATGAAATTGCAAGCAGTTCCATGGGAACATGTCTGTCAAGTATCAAAGATAGGAACCTAATTAATAATTGGTAATTAATAATAATCATTGACATCCCAGAGAAAATACAATATATGGAAAAACACGACAGCAACAAAAAACCCAATAATTCCCATACCTTGAACCTTGACTTCATATAATCCCCACAGATGGCGACTTTCCACCTTGTAACATTGACAAATTCACATTTTACCTGTTCAAAAAAGAACATCCAACTCAATTAACCCCTACTCAAGAAAAATATGAAATGGTCAAGAGGATAGTCATGGGAACACGACAGCACATAGAGACTACTAAAGTTACTATTCACACCTACTGTAGAGACTACTAGAGCTTTCATCCAAAAGTCACAAACCAGAAATCCTTGCTAAATGTTAATATCACAATTAATTGCAGATTTGAAGGAATTCAGTACGGAACTGGAGCTTTTTCCCTTCCCTTCTCGCTTATTTACCATATTAATCACATCCGGCTAGGGAATGAAATACCTGTTTACCAGCAAAGAATCGGCCGTTAATAGAATTGTAAGCCAGCACAGCCGAATCCACGGACTTGTAATGTACATAAACATTTCCCCTCAAATGGAATGAACCATTTTTACAAACCTGAGATAAGAATTAGATTTGTGAATTTAAGATTGCATAGAAACATACACAACACCAAGATCCAGGCTTCCACAGGATGAATCTACAATTTGAAAAGCTTGAAAGAGAAATGCAGAAAAACCCACTGAAAAGCCAGAGTGAATATAATATAAGGATTGACTACCCTCAAAGTTCATAACCACCTTGATAAAAAGCCAATATCAAGACCTGCAAATCGGAAAAGTAACAGCTGTGAACGGGTTTATTACCTTAAAATTCACAATTTCTCCAAACTTCAAGAACTCTGTATGAACATCCTCATAAAACTCCTCAAATGAGCGTTCAACCTCTTCGTCTGTGTACTGAAAAGAGTAAAAATAGGTAATTATAAATTGGCTAGATCGTCCTTAGAGATACGTTAATGATATTAGAAGTAGTTGTAAGCCTCAAGGTCAACTAGAAGCGGATTGCCTATAATTGACAAACAGTGGAATACTCTGCTTGGATTTGCACTAATGAGCTAAATTGCAAGTCCTCAGTTTCCGATTCTCTAATACTTGAAAAAGATTTTGCAGGATTAGCAAGAGGTAGGATAAGGAAAACGTGGCCCTTAAGAGCCGTATTCCTGTCTATAGTATATTTCTCGGACTCGATGTTTAGTGGCTAATGATTGAATAACATTCTATGGGTATTAATAGGGTAACAAGAATAATCACTTCAAACAAAGCCTGGTAACTTGAGACACCCTAACTGCTCGGCATCTGGAAAACTCATGCTAGCATCTTGGCAACAAGAGTAATCACTTCAAACAAACCAGGTAACTTTACACCAAAGATTCATGTCTGGAAAACTCATGCCGGTATCGGTCATCTATTACAGAAAAGGTGAACCTGGGGTGGAAAATCATCAAAAGACGCAGAAGAGAAGTGATAATGATAGTTCTGGTCATGGGAAGCTCAAATATCACTTCCTCTTCGATGTATTGGAAAACTTACATCATGTAAATACAAGGGGAAAACTCTAAGCCTTTACAAGATGCCTGAACTTAATAAAGCCGTCCAATTTCATGCTAACAACTCTGGAATAGCTGGAGTAAATTGTGCGTTTAATAGTTCACACCTTGCCCCCTACTTGAAGCATCGATCGTCAGAATCATCCCAAAGTATTCCAAGAGATATGAAGGACGGGTTTAGGCATGTAGGATAAGAATGAAAACAGCAAGCGGCGGCTAAGTAGTCTGTTCACCAGACGTAGAAGGAAAATGAAGGATTAATGACGCATCTCTAAAACACATGACTCAACTTCACAGGCTTTTTCCATGCAAGTAATATCCTCGTGTTAGCGGCAAATCCATATCAGATGTATTCTTTTCAGGCATTACTCTCAGAAATCAGAAAAAGCACAAGCATTTACACAATTGGAGAAAGCCAATCCCTAGAGTGATGAAGAAGTATTCACACATTGTATACGACTTCTACAGAGGCTCTTCACAACGTGACTTTTAGACAGCTGTACTGGTATTTATCAGCTTCAAAAATTAAATAGAGAAAAATCGTCCAAGCAATCTAACACCAAATGCGTGAAGAACTAGAAAAAGCCAATGCCGGCATGACATTTGAAAACTAAGAAAAAATCAGCCATGCCGATATAAAAGATAAATCCTAAAAGTAAAAGGAGTAAGAAAAAGTAGGACAACCTAGTCAAGGTACATTAGTGTTAATTCATTATTTACATTCCATATTTTTCTCAAAAGACCAAAATAACCAATCAAAAGCCCGCTTCTTTCTTCCAACACACCTATCTCAAAGAACAGAACAAGTCAGAGCTGCAACACCATGCATTAGAAGGTATAGCTGTCTGCAAGCTCACACCTTAGCAGCAACAGCTCTTATCAGAAGAACAATTCCAGCATCCCATTGCATCCGCATAAAAACTACTGAGCGTTAAGGAGCAATGAAATAGAAAAACTTTCACTGAAACTAGATCACCGTGTACGCAAAAGACTACGAGAAAATTATAGCTAATCAATAAATTAAGTTTGAAAACAAGACAAGCCATGGTATTCACCAATTGAAACAAATGTTCCAACTATCAAAATTAATTCATTGCACCCGACCAGTTCACTAGTTGCCAAAGATGATTCAGACGGCATTGAGGCTGCAGTGTCAATCCTCTAATTGATATGTCGAAATATAGATTACTCTAGGTTGATAACAATTAACGGTGGAGCAATCCTTAAAAAATGATTTTACAGAAACCCAGAAAAAGAGAGAATCATTTTACTCTTGTTTTATTTCAGTCTCTTTAATGACACATTTTTGCTTCTTGAATTTAATATCATATTATCAGAAATTGCGTTAAAATATGTATCTGACAATGATAAAAAAAAATGCATCGAAGTGCAGCTACAATGACACAATGATATTAAATTCAAGAAGCAAGAACGTGTCATGAAAGAGACTGAAATAAAACAAGAGATAGGAGAGAGTACTAGCTAGGTAAGTGTAGATAGAGGGCCTTTCAATTTGCTAACTATAAGAATTCTCAGGATACATGAACCGGATGAAGGCATCATTAACCGACCTCAAGCCCCTCATCTTGCTCCCATGCAAGGCCAGGACCATTATACATGTTCTTAATTAGCAGTGTGCACGATTTATCAGGATAGAAGTGGACTCTGCTGCATCGCTGACCAAACCGACAAGCTCCAGTCTTGAGATGGAAAGGACAATGGGCTTTATCCTGCCACAAGCGAAAAATAGAAGATGAAAAGCAAAAATGTCAACAAATTAGTCCAGAAAAACATAACTAGACATATGACCATCATAATAAGCTACCTGCTCAGTCCCAAAATTAGGCACTTGAAGAGCAACACTATCTAACACCTGTTGAGCTGATAAAGTGGATGCATTCTTGTGGTCTAAATATGCTTCAGACTGTGGAGGGAGAGGATTCGAGGTCGGCCTATCAGCATCCTGGCAGCCGAAATACAGACCTCAACTTCAAAATCCAAACCGAAAGCAACACAAGGAGCAAGGAAAGCTAGGAAGCAATGCATGCCAAGTTTCTAACACATAAAACAGGTACTAGCTTCTGTGTTACCTCTTTCAACCTCTGCAGGTCCGAGCCCTTCTTCAGAACCCTGATGGTTTTCTTCTTTACTATTATTTCATTCCCTTGCCAGATGATCTCTGCAGGCCCTTCTTCTTCCACATATTCCCAATCATCACCGTCGTCCCGGTTATGCTCCTCGTCCTCAACCTGTCAATTGACCATATACAAAAGAATGCCACTCTTATATTCTGTACTTAATCATACTCAAAATCAACAAAAACACAGACTAGCGCCTACGATTGCTCTGCAAACTTATCAGAACCCAACATCCACACACCGTGACAGGGAGGTGCGAAAGGCAAAACAAGAACATCAAACAGCTGAACGATAGTCTCACGTTACAATGAAGTTCAGAGCATCAAACGGTTGAAGGTAGCACGCATTCACAAGACACCTCAGGAAATAATCACCGAAAATCACGAACTCAACAAGCACGCACGAACACACAAAAAACCCCCCCACAAAGAAAAACCACGAAAATCCGAACGAACCTGCTGCCTCCGCGACTCCTCCAGGGCCCTCGCGCGCTCCGCTTCCTGCTCCTCCTCCTCCTCCTCCTCCTGCTTCCTCTTCCTCTCCATCGCCTCGATCCAGGCCCTCTCCCTCTCCTCGAACTCCTTCCTCTCCCTCTCCCTCCTCTCCTCCTCTTCCTTCTCCATCAGCTCCACCCTCCTCCGCTCCTCCGGGTCGTTCAGCCTCGCCTCCTCCTCCTCCCGCTCCTTCGCCGCGGCCTCCATCCTCAGCTGCTTCCTCTTCATCTTCTTCGCCGCCTTCCTCTTGTCCTTCCTGCTCATGGGCCCCGAGCCTTCCATGGCTGGCTGTCTCCGCTCGTCGCAAGCCGCCGTCGTATCTCCTCCTCCACCGCCGCCGCCGCCGCCGCCTCCATCGTCTTTGTCTTCTTCGGAGATCGGCTCCGCCACGCGAATTCCGTCCATTCCCCGCGCAGGAACACCTCCGCTGCAACGACTTCGACGGTCGAGGGGCAAACGTAGGGCGCGTGCAACTATCATGCGAGGTTTTTTCATGAAAATCCACGAATACATAACGAATTTATATAATCAATACACATTTGAATTATAGAAAAAAAAAATTTAAAAAGCATATGTATGTTCTTTTGGACAAAAAAGCATTAGTATTTGAAAATTAACAATATGTGAAGAAGGACTGGAATTAAATTTAAAATTTATAGCTTTTTTGGGTGCGTATAAAAAAAGATAGAGAATATCTATTCCAAAGTAACGGAGATCGGAGAGAATCGTAGTGTAATGATTAGTAATGACTAAATAAAATAGACGAAGCGGGTAATTACTAAGTTTGGAATATTATGTCTTTCGCGAGCTGAGATCATTTATCGGTTATTTAACAGTTTAAAAAAAATTATAATTTTCTCCTAGTCTATCTCAACATAATTATTCCTTCTCTTCTCTATCTTATTTTCTCTCGACCTGAAAGAGAATCTGCATAATATAACCAACATTTTTCGATCTATAGTATAATATTCAAATGGTAAAAATCAACATTGCCCCTTAATCACTTATATAATTAGAGTTCATTTTAGATATGAGATTGTAACGGTAAATTCGGAATGGACGTGATAATTTCGAGAGTTTGCTTTTGCATATGGTATAATTCGATAAAATAGAAGGTAGATATAATTGTCCGCATTAACATTTTAACTTTTAAGAACGCCTTATTCCGATAAAATTAAAACTTTTCAATATGAATAAAAAATTTTCAAATCATGTACTTTCCCTTTGGACCGAACATTATAGAACATAAAATATGTGATTTCCGAGGGATTTATTTGATTCGCACGAAAATCAACGGCCGCGATCGATTTGGTGGTGGGACCCAAAAATGCTGGGACAGCCCAGCATATGGTATGGGAAGCTGCCACGTGGCACGCCCGTTGATCTCTTTAGCTCTGGCTCCTTCGGAAAAGGAGCGAGCGAGAGGGAGAGCGAGAGAGTGCGGTGGTCGGCGACGGTGGTGGAAGAGGATGGCCGTGGCAGCGAGCCTCTGCAGCCGCAACCCCTCTCCCTTCCTCGGCCGCTTCCCTCCTCGTCACCCTCTCCCCGTCAGTCTCTCTCTCTCTCTCTCTCTCTCTCTCTCTCTAGGGAGGCGATTCTTGGTTTCTCGAGCTTCGGCTCTGCTAAGTTTTGAGCTGATACTCTGCTTTTTTCTTGCGGTCTTCATGTTGTTTTCGCTGTTAGAAGCTGTCTTCTGTCACCCTTTTGGCTGCCTGAATGAATCCGAATGGTTTTGCATCGAGAGGATGCTTCGTTTTCTTGCGTTCCGCGCGCCTGCTTCTTGAATTTTCACCACGACTTCTCATTTCTCCTTCTTCTCCTGCGTCTGCTTTGGTCTTTTGATGAAGTGGGTTCTCTGCCTGCGGCATATGCTTATTGCGTTTTTGAATTGAGGAGGGTCGGTTGGTAATTGGGAAATGGGCATGCTCTCTCCTTCTCGTGCAGGGGAAGACCCAATCCGGACTGTGTGCTGGGAGGTCATTCCGGGCCTCCGGGATTCGTGCACTGTTCTGGAGGTCCAAGAAGTCTTTGGAGCCTCGAGAAACTGTTGATCTTTCACTCGGTGACTATACTTTGGCAGCACCAGGCGCCGAGGTATGTTCTGCTATGGTCATGAGATGTGGCGGCAATCGTCATATCGACACATTCACGGTAGTTCTGTTTCCGAGATATAGTAAATGAATAGGTTTGTCTAATTCCCTTCTGCTGATTCTGTCGTGCAGGATGTGTCGATGACAAAGCCGAGACCTATGCAGATATCGCTCTCGGTTGTGTCTTCCATCTCTGAGGTTTCGTCAAATGATTGGGATGCGTGTGCTCTTGATGCTACTGGCCCTGAGAAATATAACCCGTTTCTTTCGCATGGGTTTCTTTCGAGTTTGGAGGAGTCCAACTCTGCTGTGAAGGTGAGACTTTGCCTTCTGTTCTAAGGGCTCGAAATTGTTGTTCATCAACATAATTGTTAAGTTCATAATTTCTACTGCTTTTTTTTTCTCTTGAGGAAAGGATTGGATTATTGGCATTTCCTTCTATGGCAAAGAATGGGACTCAAGGCTTCATTGATAATGCAGTCCTCCTTGGTTCCTGCATGCATAAGCTTTCACTGATAAATTGGTTGCACACTGCTTCTGGGGTGTCCCTGATGCTTTTACGCCTAACAGTTTATCGGCCAACATGTTCTGTCTTGAGAGAGATGACTCTCCTCAGGATGCTTTGACAGACAGCAAAAAAGAAGTTCCTTTTACTTCTGGTATATGCTGCAAAATATCTTTTTGAACAAAGAGGGACTGTTAAGTTTTGTAGGTTTTGATGCCTTCCTAGTGAAGTTTTGTTTTTAAAGGATTGGCACCCTCTCAGTACCCTTGGAATTTGGTTTCTCTCCCTATTGTTCCTAGACAGAGTTCTTTGTGTATTAGTATGCTACTAAGCTGAATAGCTTCTCCTGAATACTCCGTTGATTTATTTAAATGCTTATAGGAAACAGGATGGATGCCGCGGCATATTGTTGCAAAGGATGAATCTGGGACTGTTATAGGCGTTGTTCCACTTTATCTTAAAAGGTTTTTCCTCTTCTCTGTTCTCAGAATTACATTTATTTTCGCTACAAACATCAAATAAATAGGTTCTTGTATGCTCCTCTTAAATAGGTATAAATTGGACAATTTTCAAAATCTTCAAGGAGCTTTTTGGCTGCGGTTACACTCTCATTTTACATGTTGATGTGCAGTCACTCCTATGGTGAATTTGTTTTCGACCATTCTTGGGCGGACGCTTACTACAGTTATGGTTCAAGATACTATCCAAAGTACCAGTGTTGTGTGCCTTTTACCCCTGTAACTGGTCCTCGGATTCTACTTCGCGATTCCTTATATAAGGATCAAGTTTTTGACATTGTAGTGGACGCCTTAAAGAATCTGGTTGCTAAGGTACGTGATAACAGATGTGTGATTGTCCATAGTGAATATGATGTTGCATCCATGTAATGGCCAAACTTTTATTGCACTTTCCCTTCGTCATTTGGCTTTCTTTGCACTCCATCAAATATTTGGACCTTTTCCCTTGGCTGGAATTGCACTTGAGTTAAAAAGTTTTTGGGGCTCATCTCTATATGTATGGTCCTGTGGAAAACAAGAAATAACGTAGTTATTTGCCAAACAAGTGGGGAAGTTGTGGCTAGCTGTGGCTTACTTAAAGGTGGAAATTCCTGAACTGTCAATCTGATGTTTCAATTTGCTGTAGTTCTGAATTTGCTGTATATCCTTGACGACAGTCCCAGGTTTCGTCAATTCACATCACATTTTCTTCTGAGAATGAATGGCACTACCTCAAGGAAAAGGGTTTTCTACAGAGGATAGGAATGCAGTACCATTGGAGAAATCGAAACTATACATGGTGAGTGGCAAAATGAGCACTGAAATTACAGTTAGGCCTGATGTTACTCCTGCTAATTACATTGACGTCGACTTTTGGTTTTTCCCTCATCACTTTCCCCTTCGGTAGTAAAACAATCCAGGAGACTCATCTTCATCTGAAGTGTATTAGTACATGCAGAAAGGGTTCTGAAGGGCTATTTTAAGATTTTAACAAAACCTTGGGAGCACTATATATCCTGTGTGATGCAATGAATATATTTGTAGACTATTATGACTGAGCTCCTGGAGGGCTCCAGCCAAAGCCATCTGAAGTAAAATTCATATAACATGGTGAAAACCTCCAGCAATGTGCTTACTTTCTTAATGGTCAAGATAAGTATTCAATTATATATTCTTTCGCAATAGGATTAGGGAAACAAAGACACATCTTTTGTCTATATTTATACAAGAAAACCACTAAACATACAAGTGCTGAAACATTAGACTCAATGCTAATGAAAATAGGCGTGTCTGTAATATTTCAAGTTTCTCAGTCAAATTAACTTTTTAAGAGTATCATTAATATAAAAGTGGCATGTAGCTTAAAATACTTCTTCAGAATTTGCAAAACCATCAGTTTAGAAAGTAGCACGGTCAAATCTCATCATAAGCCTGTATTAGTTTACTTAAGTACTTCGTAGCTTTCATACATCTTTGACCCCTTTCCTTGACTGTCAGTGAGGGTCAAAAGTGTTTGGGAGTTGAATGGAGTTATCTCCGTTTGATCTAGATAGCATGTCAAGGGGAGTCATTGCCCATAAATGCTTCACCAAAGTCATCTAGGTGAAATGCAACTTTCATTTAAAAGTATACTTGGATGTGATGCTGCTGTCAATTTTCTCCATTTGATATTGTGCGCAAATCAATTTCCTTTGCAATTTGTCCTACCAATTAGCATACGATTGCAGCATTACTTCTCTAAATGAGTTGTGTCTTAAATTTACTTGGAATGCCAACTTTTGATCTTTTTACGTTTCTTGTGTTTATCTTGCATGCAAAAGGTCCATGCTTCAAGTTTCACTGTCTGTGCCACAGCTTTGATGACTTTTTGATGGACATGAAGCAGAACAAAAGGAAAAATATACGTCAGGAGCGCAAGAAGGTTAGTTTCTCCAAATGCTATTATATTTGGCAATTTCTTTTATTTTGGGAAGATGCTTCCACCTAGAAATTCTGGTCAATCTTGCTCTTAGTTCTTTATTCCTTAAATACATGCTTGAAAATTGGATGAAAATTTAGTAAATTGTGTTGATATATATGCTTGTCACAGGGAAAATGAAGAAAGTAGTTATTATGGAACTACATATGTTACTGCAATCTTCACTAAAAGCTCATAGAAAATTTTACTAACACTGTCAGACTGATGCTTAATGGGGATTGCATTCCCAATTTCGGATATAATGCTGGCTGACCTTTTGCATTTGCTGAAACTCACTCTGCTGAAGTAAAGTGTTATACTGGAACTTAAGCTTCTAGGACAACTGGAAAACTGACTAATTGCTGAAGATGCTTCAAAGCAGTAAAATATGAACAGTTGAGTAACAAGTGGTCATTCTTTATTATGACATGAGTTATGGGAAGTATTACATAAACTGATCTTTTCTAATGCCTATCGCTGTTACGTTCTACAAATGTTTTGTGCAATATATCACTGGTTGTGTATCAACTGTATTTGTACCTATACTAATTAGGAAAAGAAAACACACATGAACTTTCATGTAGTATCAACTTCTTTTCGTGCCTGTTGGAATCAATTTTGTCAATAGCACAGACGGAAAATCATATTTCCCATTAACTTTTCAGAATATATTGCTGGCGTGCTATGGTATTTTATCAAAAAATCAGTTTGCGTTTGATCTGTTGCATCTTATAGTCTTATAGTGCCAGATGGGACATGTTTGCTTCGTTTTGGGCACACAAGCTTTTACTCATTGGATCGAACCCTTTCTGCAGATTTCTGCCCAAAACTTGACAATGAAACGGCTTCAAGGGAATGAAATAAAGGTAATGAGTACAAGTATCGTGGCAAAAGTGTCTCGGGAAAGATTTTAAGCCCATCCTGCCCAAATTATGTGAGGTTCAATAAGTTTCCATACTGCATATGTAACCTGGCCGGTTCAATTTGATATCAGTGTGAATAGAGACTAGTTAATTAACTAGTTAAGGGAAAGACTGGTTACTTAGTGTCTACAGAGAAGTATAAATAACTATACCATGTTGCAACTTGCAAGTACTCGTAGTAGTTTGAGTTCAGATGGTAGTAGTAACTTTTATGTCCGCTGTTTTGAGCTTTTAGATTAGTTGTTCTTAGGTGTGATCGTCCATATGTCACTCCTCTTCTGTTACACTTCCGAATTAGTACCTTCACTTTGTGAAACATGGAGGACTTGAGCTTCTTGGTTTTGATTGTGTGTGCAGGCCAAGCACTGGGATTCTTTCTATACGTTCTACAGGAACACCACCGATAACAAGTATGGGTCCAGTGACTGCTTTTTTCTTTCCTTTGCAAAAATTTAGTATTGTCGATTGTTTTGCCTGCTTCTTGTGTGTATTCAAAGACATTTTTATACGATATGAGAAAGCTTAAGTAGATTATGTCTTGTTGCTTACGTTTATTTAGGTGGGGCAGCCCTCATTTGACGAGAGAGTTTTTTCATAGCATGGGATCGAAAATGGGAGATCAAGTGTTATTGGTTGTAGCTGAAGAAGGGGATGAACTTGTTGCCGGAGCCCTTAATCTTATAGGTGGAGATACTGTATATGGACGTCTCTGGGGATGTCATCCCAGAGCCTATTATCCCAGCTTACATTTTGAAGCTTGTTATTACCAGGTTTGGGTCTATCTAACGTACACAATTGGAAAAACTCCTGGATGTGCGATATACACTCGTAATAGGAAGTTCTTTCTTGGTTGGATAATGCCCTATCTGAAAAAGTGAGATTCATTCATATTATTTTGGCAAGGATGAACTAATGGACATAAGTACATGATATGGATTTGCCAAATTTTCCCTAAGTTGGAATACTACAATGTGTAAATATGAGATGCACAAGGACTAGGTCTTCAATTTCCGATCATGAAGAAAATATCGGACATTCGGTTTTTATTCTTTGAAGAATTGAGGACCTGTTTCGTTGTAGATCAAACGCAGCGTTAGGCGTTGATCATACGTGGGTCTATGTGACAGATACGGCAGCATTGGGCAACTGTCATTGTCCATGCCTACTACCATGATTGATTATCTTCTTCTGCTCCGAATGAGGACTTTCTGCAAGAGTGCTGCTGTAAAGGCATGGCCGTATCTGGAAATGTCATTCCAGAAGCTGACAAAGTTTTTCTCTACATTGTAATAGTCGTTACATGCTAATAAAAAATTTCCCATGGAATTTGCGGAGGAGTTACCAAAACAAAAGAAGAGAAAAAAGGAAGTTAGGTTAAAACACATTTGCTATGGCAGGATAAATAATTCTTGTGATATGGAAGTATGCACTTATTGTGTTTGGGACAATATGGTAATTTCCTTTTATTTACGTCGCAGGCAATAGAAGCTGCTATAGAGCTTAATTTGAAAACAGTGGAGGCAGGGGCTCAGGGTGAGCACAAAATTCAGCGAGGTTATATGCCTGTACCAACTTATAGCTGCCACTACCTTTTGGATGAAGATTTCAGCAAGGCCATCGACGAATTTGTAGTGCGTGAGGCAACACAGGTATATATTACTACTGAAGAGTTTTCGATCTAGAACAATTCAGTTATCAATTGCACTATCATTGCGTCGCGATTAATATTCGATCTTCTCGTGTGCTGCATTTCGCAAGAAGGTTTTTTCAATTCCAATGTTTCTTGTGTTGGTTCTGGTGAACTGTCTGCATCATAGATGATTGTCACAGTTAATGCCGAGCACTTGCCTTCTTATTTTCTTCATCTGTTCCACTTTACTTCATTCTTTAATGCATTTTAGCAAAGTTGATATAAAAGGAAGTCCATGTGACATTCACCATATTACATTTCTGAAAGGAAGGTCCCAGCAGTGAAGTTGGACACTATGTTCTAGAACCTCGGTTTGCTTTTTAAAGCTCCGTTTGCTTCGCTGAAAATGAATAATTTGAAAAACATTCCTTAAAATGATCGCTCATATCGCTTACAAAATTGAATGAACGAAAAACGTTTTCATCTTTCACAAAAATGTTCAGACATAAATTGTTGTTCGATAATGAAAACATTTTCCGTTAGTTAATTATTCCGAGCGATACAAGCGATCATTTTTAGGAAAATATTTTTCAAATCATTCATTTTTCGTTAAACAAACAGAGCCTAAGATGAACCCTTAATTTGATTACACCTTGGTCCCTTTAGTGAAAGCAGAGCAACATTAAACCACGCTTGATCCGTAATCTCCTGTCAGCTTAATCATAACATTTCCTTATCTGCAGGTCAAACTCGTGATGAAGATGATCCAGGATTCTGGACCCTTTAAAGAAGGCATAGAGTAGAAACACGCGGTCGAAAGTCCCACGTAAGGTTGTTGTGGTATGTACATGTCTACAAGGATCTCTCACTTCGTGAACGCTTGAAATCGTTTCCAGACACCGAGCAAAGAGCAGAGTGACAATGCAAGGAGATTCGTATGAATTAAGCTTCTTCCTTTCTACAAACATTGGATCAATAGAAGAGCCAGTTTTCTTCTTCAGCTATTTCCCATCTATTATTCCTTGTGTACAGATCAGTTAGTTGACCATTTCATTCCGGTAAAGTGTCTATGTAAAAACAGTTTCTGGCTTTTGTTGATGATTGCAGCCGTAGGTGCTACTTCCCTTTAATTGATGTCGCTGCTCGGTGCTGTTGCTATCGAACATACCGCGGAAGCAAAATGCATTCTGTTTCCCAAAAAGTGGGGTGGGAAATGATAACACGTCTTGTGTATATATAATCTTGCTGTTTTCCCGATAAAACAAGAGACGAAAGTCGATTGGAGAAACCGGTAAAAGGTACGATAGCAATTACTGGCCCAGGCTTCTCGATATGATTACATCAAGGCACGATAAACATTACATCCTTATCAAAATTTTAGTTGAGGGAAAGATGTGAAAAGCAACATGAATGAGGCTGCAAAGTTTGAAGTTACAACAATTGCAAATCAGAATATCAAACTCTATCACGAAATGCCTTTGAAGATCATGCGCAGAGAAATTTACACATTGGGTCAGTCACGACAATAAAAGTTCAATTGCATTCGCATCACAGATCGAAACTCAGAAGCTTATATTTCAGAATAATAGGTCTGTACTCCCAAAGCGAAGAAATGCACTTCACCAGTAAACATGGTGGTATACAATCCATCAAAAGCATGTCCACTACGAGCAAAAATTGTAACCTATCCCGCCCCCGCCCCCGCTCAACGCAACCCGAAAAAAAATATAATAATGACAAACCAATCCCTCCAATGAAAGGAGCTAATGAAGCTCTGGATGACAGTCAGTCGGATGGGCGGGCTCTGGTATTAATCGCGTAAACTTTTATACATGGCCACCTAGTACTCATTCTCACCTCTATGGAGCATATACAGCGACATGTGATTCAATTTAAATACTCAAACCACCAGGAGCAAGATACCCAACCGACAAGAATGCCTTGAGAATTATAATCCATCATGATCTTCAATCATCTAGTATCTGTAAGTCGAACCTGACTGCGGGGGTGCGGGCGGTAATCGATTCGGTGTACGCCGGCCACCGGGATTAGATGCCGAGCTGGCATCACCATTTTGAGCAGGGTCACTGCTCCGCCGACTGTGGCTTGCCCCAAACCTAGACGAATCAGTGGGTCCATTGGCGGCTGCATCGAAAGCGCTCCTCCAGTCATCACCAGATGAGGGTCCATTGCTTCTCGGGCTGCTTTCTGCACAATATTAGATATGGATAACATCAACAGCTGACGTTGATTTTTCTAATCTGTTTTGTTTTTTCAATTACCAGAAAATAAGTGCAATATAGGAAGCAGTGCAGTCAAGTCTGATAATAAATTGCCACACTCAAATGTATCAATCAGGGATCAACCAAGACGCCTTCTATGAAAACATCTCAAATCGGAAGAGGAAGAGGTTCATGTCACAAAGTACACAAGGATCGTGGGAAGGATTTTACCAACTAATGATTTCCAAAATCACGAATTTGCTTTTCCAGAGACACATGAAAATTCAGATTCAAGAAACCTAATTTAAACTGCACTTTAGTCCGCAGCTAGTGTTTTCTCCGTTCCCAATTTGAATTTTGATGCAAATTGCAAAGGCTTAACTTTTATAAAATCAAGGTGACGGGCTTCCAGACACGGAGAAATTATCAGATACAAGAAACTTTTGCCATTTAAACCCCAATTGAGACCGGTATCTTTTCCCATTCCCAACTTGAATTTTCATGCCAATTGGAAAGGCTTTTAACAGTTAATAATTTGTAACATCACAATTCCGCATTTCCAAAAACATAAGATTCAAGAAATTTTTGGCATTTAAACCACTTGAGACCGCAAGTTAGCAATTTAATTTTTTATGCACCAGGCACAACATTTATCACTATAGACCTGGAAAAAAAAAATATCTCCCACAGGGTAAACTCCATTAAACTTTACAGCATAAGCAACATCCCAAGGCATACTGGCAGTGAGAAATCAATTGGAAACAAAAAGCCCTTGAAGATATTAGTTTTCTTAACCCTTCAGACACAAGTTATAAGAATTATACTGCCATGCAACAATTGTCCTACTCCATAAGCTGTTCAGACTTTCAAGATGCACTGCACATTTAACTAAAAACTGCACTCGCTATTACCTGCAGCACTGCTGCTATCAGACCAGCCGGAGGCAGCAGATGCTCGATTATCGTGAATGCTGAGTTGTCTAGTGAGTTTTGACAGGAGGGAGGCCTGTTTCTGGTATTTTTCCCTCTTACGTTTCACATTTTGATCCTCTAGAAGCAGTTCTTCAATTCTTGCTGTGCTCTGAGAACTACAATCCAATGTAAACAAGAAAGGATGACTAATCATTTAAGAATAACCCTTGATTAATGATATAGAATTTTGTAAAAAAGTTACATATGAAGCATATTAGTGCTGTAGAATTGGAAACTGTAGGACTACAAAACAGGACATGATAAATATGTGGTCAATGCAATATCCAAATAAATGTTTTCATTATAGGGAACCATTTCCGACAATATATAGTTAGATGCAATAGATGCCACTTGCAGTGGTTTCACAAACCACCACTCCGAAAAGGAATACTTAAAGTACCTTCCATTTGCACCATGTAGAAAGGAACATGAGTATACTATGAAATATTCAAAGGAAAAAAATTAATTCACCAAAAACAGAAACAGTCAATGTGGTATTCAAGCTAACCTGATCGAACTGTATAATTGATTGAGCATGTCCTCTTTGGCTTTCTCTACTTGGCAAAGTACAACTGCCTGCTCAGCAACATAAGAAGCTAGTGAAATGAAAAGCAATGGCACTGTCTCAGCAAACATAACAATACACGTCAAGAAAACTGACTTTTGGAACATTAGCACCGAGGCTGTTGAGAACTGCTTCGACATAACCACGAACTTCTTGGGACATCCACCGTAGTTCTTCCTCTGGATCTGCAGGTCTTCTTGTCATGGTATCCTGAAATACAGGGATCACCAAAAACATATTGCTAGTTTAGTTAGGAATAGGCTTAACAAAGAAAAGTAGAATATTTCGAGGTCTTTAAAGCCTTTGGGATATCTTATCTTCAAAGAACACCTACAGGTGGAACACTGGACAGTTGGAAGAGTCGAAAGTGAAACAAATGGATCTTGCTTGCAATTGCTGAAGGATTAAACAAACAAACTGATTTCTCTCTCGTTTTAAGGGTTGATGGTCGTTTCTTTATTCCCCCTTGCAGGAGAAGGGAAAGGGAGGGAATTCGTTACCACACAATACCATTAGATGACTCACCAGAGAACCATCGGAGAGGCTTTGCCGGAGAGGGAGCCCAGATTCTCCCTTCACTGGACCTCCAGCGGAAGGCTGGATAACATTTCTCAATTTGTTCAACCACTCAACCTTCTCTGCCATAGACTCAGCCTTCAATATCACCGCACTGTGAGCTACAACATGGAAGCAGGACATCCGATTGGCAGTTTAAAAGGATAGTCGAAATCCTAAAGATAAAAGACATAACGTGCAAAAGAATAAGTACCTTTCAGTACTGTCTTGTACTGAACCTTGCTAGTTATCTTGAAGACAAGACCAGGTCCTTTTCCAGATTCTGGACCATTTGATTTTTTATCCTTGGAACTTTTTGGAGGGGGTTCATCATCATCAGAGATTTCTTCAATGTTACATTCCTGATGAATTTATCCAACAGTTGCACAACCAACATCCAGAAACAAACAAGAAGCTAAGTAGAAATTCCAGTAGCTTGACTGGGGTCAACTGTATTACCAATGTGAACTTTTATACTGTCATGATGCATATCCAATGGACAGCAATAAATGACAAGTAAACAAAGGAATAAGGAATGGCCACTTAGCAAATGAAAGGGACAACAGATGGTGTTGCAGAGGATTTGGAAATTTGAAGAGATGACTGGTAAGCATAAGCACAGGCTAACAGATACATGTCTTCTTCAATAACTAGTCTAATAGATACACGCTATTATACCTATGTAAAAAAAGAAAAAAGCAGACACATGCTGTCAATTTTTCCAACATATCCTCTTGATGACAGCGCTTAACAATATAATGCAGCAATTTAAGTTAGAAGCAAAAACAAGAAAAAGGAAATGAACCAGTTTTAGATGCACCCGAAGGGAAATGATGTGGAGGTAAAATAGAGTTAGTCGATTGAACAAAGTACACTTGTCTTTTAACAAATAAAAGAACACTTGTCTTATTTACACTTTGAATAGAAGTGAAGGTAGGAAAATGCTTTAGTTGAACCAATCTGTTGGTCAGAAGAGAATTGTTTCCTTTTGCTCCCACCCATATTGTTCTTCTCATTGTTAGCCAAATCAAAAGCAAAAATATTACAAATTTGTTGTCCCGCTTCCCTCCAATTTCTTGAATATGGAAACAGAATAAATCTTGGGACCCAGCAGCTGCTTTCCCTCTTTTCTCAATGCACCCGTAATTAACTTCTTAAGAATTTTACTCGCTACTATCTATGGCTTGTTTATATATATCAAACATGTGCGCGCCTGCATACCCACACATGCCACCCCCATAAAAATTGCATAGACGATGCAGACGATTGGTCAGCTAGAAAATAAGTGAGCAACCAAGGAATTTCATACTAAAATAATCCAGCCGAAGAACCTGAAACATTCCACACCTGCAAAATGATGGTACCACGGAAAAGTCGCTCTTCTGGCTTCCTGGTATATGAAAACTGCAAAATAATACAGCATTGAAATACATTGGTCACCTAGTCATAATAGACTCAGAAAATAACAAAAAATTGTTCGTAAAAAATGCCAGTTTTCAACCACCAAAAAATGGGTAACATCCAACACAAAGATTTCTAAAGCAGAATTTGCAATACGGTCCATGTAACATTAGTAATTTATGCCTACTCCATTCGTCAAATAAACTAAACACTTCGGGTTAATTATTGTGGCAAGTATCTCAACAATGTCAAACAGCTATAAATTGAGTACATTCATGGATTAACAGGTATCCCACTAATTGGCAGATAGAGAAACACTCCAGGGCATATATTTATTACATACACTACTAACCTTGCCAGTTTTCTCATTTAGAACAAACCATCTCCTGCTCCATCCATTTGTTTTTGCACTTTTCTTCAATAAAAAGCCTGCGGATAACCATGGCCATCATAAGCCTACGAAAGTCTGAAGACACGTGTAGATGACTATGGCCATGATTTTTAAAAAAGTTCAAATGTGCACTAAACGCAAAATATGGCTTATCATTTGCTCCATTAAACAAGCATACCCTTCTCATTTCCTACAAAAGTGACACATACAAGACACAAGAAAAATTCTAGTGTAAAATAAAAATAAAAAATTTATGGATCTTTCGCATATTGAAATAGATAAGTGTGCCCATGTGAATCATTATATGCAGCAGGAAATCAGCAAACAAAAAGGTAGATGAACTAATAGCAACATTCAAAAAATTAAAGAGAATTAAAATGAGCCAAAAGGTATGATGGCCACATGCGATTAAGTTGTTTGTTGTTCAGCCAAATCTGCGTTGTAAAAAAGTTTTCAAAACTAGTCTGACTCAGTGCAGACCTGCCGTCATTTCTCCATCTGGCCCTGCAGTCTTCAGTACAGATCCCTCCTGCCCATCCTTGTCTTGCTGATTTGGTTTCTCTTTCATGGATTTTAAGCTACCTCCACTTTGTTGACCCCCTGTTTGGGGACTAGTTGCCTGAAAATAAGAATTCAAAACAGTTGTGATAAGCGACAACTTCTTTATAAATTGAAGCACTAATTCATGAAGAGAAAAAACGAGTTCACACCCTGTTCAGTGTGGATTGCTCTGCATCAGCAGCTCCTCTTTTGGAAGATCTATTCTTTAGCTCTTCTTCACGACGCTGCCTTTCCATCCTGTTCAAGACAATTTGAGGAGATCAGACAAACAACATGAAGGACTTGGGAGTACGTCAATACCCTACCATACATAACCCAACCAATAAAACATCAAGACACAATTAGAGGCACCAAAAATTTATGCTTTCTTCATCCTCTCCAGCAATAAGTTCATATTCAGCAGGCAAAGGTATAAATTTACAAGTAGTGGCAAACGTGAATGCTGTCGTTGATAAAGACCAGGAAGATACAGCCCAAAACAAGTTTTAGTTAAAAGAAAAAATTAGCAGAATTAAGCAATGCTACAGTTATAATCACAATAGAGAACTCAAGTGGACAGAGTACAGAGTTATAATACAATCAATTTTGCATTTGACAAAACTTGTTTTGTCAACAAAATCCAGTAGTCCTTCAGCAGGTAAAGCTGACTCAATGCAAACACAAAGGGCCTGTTTGTTTGAGATTTTTAGAAAGTAAAAAGCAACTTGTTCATTTCAAAAAAATATGAAAATGTTATATGTGAATCTACGAGTCAACATTTGACTGTTTTGAAAATTTCAATTGTTTTGGGTTAAGAAAATGACAAAATGCATCCGCCACAAGATTTAGATTAAGCAAAAAGTAAAAGTCTAGTCAAGCAAGTGAAATGGATCGATTTTCCTCAGGAAAACAGGAGAGAATCCAAGATCGTCAAATTCAACTCATCTAGCTAATATTTGCTGCAATAAAAGATAATACTATCTATTAACACACTCTTGGTAAGCATACCTCCTCTGCACCAATCTAATGAAGTGTTGAGGAGGGACAAATGCACGTTCCATGTCAACAAGTGCAACCACCATCTTCTTGGCCTCATTCTTAAATGTATCAAGCGCGGTAGTTGCGATGGCTACAACCTAATGAATGATTCAAAAAACTGTGATACTGTCCAAACTGTAGTGACCATGAGTACTAAAAACTAGTACCTCTCTTTTAAAAGGAGGATATCTCCCAAGACCTGGTGTAGCAGTTGCTGCAGCAGAAACAATGTCCAGCAGGACACGGTGCACCTGTTTCAGCCCAATGTAGGCACAAGGTATGACAAGGGGTAGGAAAGGACAATCAGTGCATTGAATCTGAAAGGAATCTTCAAGAAACTTAATAGAGCAGTCGCAAGCAGAGCAGCTTTTTATAGCAGTAAAGAAGGCTCAATGCATGCAAAGAATGACAGGGCCATTAATGCAACTAAAATCAGCTACCTCATCGACACAGAGCCGTGATGGCTCTTTTGCCATCTCCAAGACACTTTTTATCAGAGACCTAAGTCCTTTCTCTGGAGAGATAAGATATGGTTGATAACCATCTGCCTCTAGCACAATCTGGTAAGATCACAAGGCCCAGAGATAAATATTCCAGCAGAATAATCAGAGAAGTATGGAGATCATGAGAGGAAATAGCAAAACCAATATACCCTTTTGACATTATTAATATCAAAATGTCGATCCAAGGGAAGCTGCTTGATGCGGTTAGGAAAATTACCCTCAAAGCTGGCAACAATCTTCCAACCACTACCCTGCAAAGTTAATTCCCGTTTTAGTTAAAAGAAGGTTTGTAAAAATTTATGTCATCAAGTCGAAGAAATAATGCTCAAGTTATTCTCGTGCCTTGCACTCCATATGCTACTGTTATCTCTAGAACTTAAAAGAGCGAAAGGAATCTTATTTCAAAAATTTTCTTCTTCTATCTCAACCCGAAAACCAGGCTATGAGGAGACTACATTGCAGGCAAAACAAAGTTAGTCGCTCAAGCACCCACATTGATTAATTTTCATCAGATACCACAAGTCCCTAGGCCCAATCATACTAGAATAGACCATATCTGACCATCAGTGGGCAGAGCGTCACATTTGCAGAAAACTGAATTTGGAGAAGCTAATATGTTTTACAGCACTAAAACATTTAAGACAACTTTATTGATAAACATATACTGCTCCATCATATTAATATTCGTAAATGATTTTTGGCATTCACAAAAACATTAGTCGATTATATTTGACATTCTAATGCATTTCATAACAAATAATGTACATAGTGTGGTTTAATATATCAGCCTTGGAAATTGGATGACAAATGAATTGTATCCAGTTCTTAAATGCAAAAAAAAATTCAGAAATGAATGGACATAATATTGTGACTTTCCTCTTAAGCTCACGAGAGCAAAAAGAAAGAATGCCGATTCCTCCACTGGTATAGGTATTTTTATTTCCTAGTATAGCCTTACCTTTCTCGCTTTCCTACTTTTTTTTACCAAATATATCAGACATTCGTCATTCTTTTGAATTTCCACATCATATTCGTCTATCACAAGCAAAAGTGGAATTTCAACACCCATTTTATTTCACTCCTTCCTCCCTCCACAACATTTCCACCTCATTTTAGTTCTTCAAACCCATATGTCGGAAAGTCTATATAATGCTTATGTTTCCGGGTGCTAAGAGAGACAACATAAATATCCTCTATAATTACCAAAATTCAGTTGCTTACTTCACCACTCGTAATGTGCTGGAGAAACTTGTCCTCAAATTCACGGCACAGCTCCAAAGCTAAGGCTCTTGTTCCTTCAGGACTATTAACCATCTGCTCTCCAAGCCTCACCAACTCGTCCTCGACAATCTGAGACTTACCTTGAAGCCTGCAACATGTCGGTAATGTTACAATTTCATAAATGATCAAATTGATGCTGAATGGATTGGGAAACAAACAATGGTTATGTGGATAATCATAGTTCCTATCAAAACACACAACTTTAGACATAAAGTTGTAAAAACAACTGGAGGCAAAGACAAAGGAACTTGTGAGCCAGAATTGCAAACAAAGAGAACATTTTATTATCTAACATATTGTCTTCTAGGCTAATCAGAAATTATGTCTAGCACATACATTGACCTGGCACCAAGGGAAGTATGTGAGACAATGCCCATATTCACCACTAAATTGTAATAAGATGTACAAAGTTTCAGAAATAAAGTCAAGAGTCTACCCTAGGAAAAAAAAAGTCATAAAATTTCCTACAAGACATAAACATTCGATATGGTTATCCTTATTTCTGGGTGCACAAAAATTTGCTTGTAACAGAAATTCAAAGTCTACCCAAAAAAGACTGAAAAAGCAAATTATTGGCTTTCAACAACTAGTAGAACAAAATGTTTGTATTTCAGAGTCTGCATGATCCCTCATCAAGCATAGTATCACCAAACAGATTATGCAAACCTTAATCTTTATTGCCACGGTATAACAATTTTCAACTGGAAGTCAAATATCCAACCATACATTTTGCACTATTGACAAATAAAAAGCTTTGCAGAAGAAACGATGTGATGCAAGAAATGATGCACAGGAAGATCCTAAAAAAGGAAATAGAGTTACCCAGAGAGTAGATTTGGAACCCTGACTTTCATACGATTACGAATCTGACCAGCAAGAGCCTCAACCAAAGATACTCTACCAAGTTTGCTCTGGGGGGCCCCAGTTAAAATGGATTTAAGACTTTCGCTCTCAGCTCTCCAAGCAGTTTCCAGTGAATTCTCAGAACCCACCCCTCCAGATTGAGCAGAAGCAATGGAAACTGATTGACCTATTAAAGCAACCCATGGAATGTCGGCTGTCCTCGGGGGTCCCTTATTCAAGAGGAGAGCCTGAACAGCTGCAAGAGCTCTTGAATCAGAAGCTGCTTGATCAATTTTGCTAATGACACCTATGGTCCTAGTACCTGCAGGAGAAGCACAACTTAATAAAAACATTAATATCAAGGGGTAAATGCAGCACAGATAAAATAGAATCACATAAATTCATTCACGGAAAGATAACAATTTACAAGAAGTTACTGCTAACTATCCACTGCAAAAAGTTAATCCTAATAGGTAAAACTTTGGAATAACCCACTTTCTGCATCATATTCTTTTGCAGCTTTGAGGGCTCGCGATGATGAAATTTCCAGTGCCTGAGTAGCAGGTATTACAACCAGTAAAATAGCATCGTTATGCTGAACATACTCGCTGATCTGGAAAAGCAAGAAAAGTGGAATTAGAAAGCAAGGAGTCAAGATAAACAGCCAAAGAGTAAGCTTTCCTTCAAAAAAGACATATGCACCTACACAATCAACTGAGAAGCACATGATGCAACAATGGTTAAAAGCATGGAGCAGCACACAAGTAACTTATAAATTAAGCCATGTTGGAGAAAAGTTTTCATTCCTCACCACTGAATCATCCATGACTCTTTGATCCAATCCAGGTAAATCAATGAGCTTTAACGGTGGAGCTGAAAATAACAAGAAAAGAAGGGAAAGAACTGTTAGGGATACAAATCGTCATGGCATCATGAAAAATCCAATCTAGTGATAATTGCCAGGCCAGTCAAAAGATTCCATTGTTTTTTTTTTTTTTTTTTTTTTGGTAACCCAGGGAACCCCCGCACGGCCGACAGCCGGGAGGTAAACCCTGGGGGTGACACGTGCCAGCCACCACACACGTGCACCGGTTAAGTCACCCTGCGGCGCCCGGGATTCGAACACCCAACCTTTTGCGAGAGGAAGAGTGCCCTTTCCAGCAGCGCCACCCAGGCGGGTGGTTCACAAGATTCCATTGTTTGTTCTTACAATTTTGAGATAAGTCCCCAATAAAACTACCAGATAATAAAAAGAAAAAGATAGGCTTTCAGATCGGCCCCTGTACCTAACCATATATCGAAGAGAATAAAATTGACCTTAATGCCGACATTTCACCGTGAAGCTGAACCATTGAGTTTAAACTTGGCAAGTCAGCCACCTTGGTGGTGTCTGAAGTTGATGCACATGTCAACTCCCAGATACACATTCTATGTGATTACAAATCAATGAGTGGGGGTATAGGATGTGCAAAACCTAGCTATTAAAATCCGACAAGTGTTTTAAAACAGAATAAACCCATCCAAATATAGGAAAATATGTGCCAATCTGCTTATGATTTTCTTCATCGATTAAGCAACATGAAATCAATTTAACCATCACGCAGAAGCAACTTCAAGCAACAAATTACCTGTGCTAGTACGGAGTTTCAAGTATATTTCATCCCGACCTCTTCCTGATGCACCCTTGCTTAGTCTATCTTGTAGGGAGTGGCGAAGAGCACCTATGATGTCCCAAACACAAGGAACGTGAGAAAATTCAAATATGACAAGCAGTCACATATACAAGAAACTATAGTTTTATGCATTAATACCATTACTAACAAGCATCTATGCTAGGGTAATTGAATAGCGCTTCCCAGTAAGGACCTTACTTGCAGAAACTTGTTGAGATTTGTTGTCAATTTGCAAAACAATCGACTTGCTGCTTAAAGAATCGTCCCTATTCAAGTCAATGCATATTGGAGCCCGAGTAGCTCCTCCCTCACCAGTTGGCTGTCCAAAAATGATTACACATTAGCAAGATTTGGGAAGCAAATCATAAAGCAAACGCAAAGCACCCACACGAGGCAAAAGATTAAACAGACAACCACTCACCAGGACAGCGTGGCCAATGAGACTATTTAAGACAGCAGATTTTCCAGCACCCTGATCAGGTTTAATGAGAAGGAAGTTGCATAAGAATACATATAAATTAAAAAAACATGAAAACAAAAGCCATACGTTTACCAGATATCTTAAACTAAGTATCCATTCTATGTAGGCAGGTACATCCTATAACAAAAGTGTCCATAACTCTCTGGATCTGGGGTGATATTTAAAAACTCGATTTGACATTAGTCCTATCCATTTATTTCCACCCGGCTTGACATCTTTTAACCGTGGAGTTAGATTTCAAGTAGTCTTATTGACTAGCCTCCTAAAAGAAGGAAACAAGCATATGAATATGAACAATGTGTCAGCATCTAGAGAATGATATAAAAGCAAATTCTATGGATAAGTCTAGTCGAAACTGGAAAACCTGATCAATTCTTTACCAATCAAAATCCACCGTACGAGGTGGAGACGGCCAACAATACCCATAAACTAGTAATCAATTAACTGTAATGCAACCATTTACTGATTCTTCAGTCCTACAGCGAAAAGGATCTGTTCAAAATTTCAAATCCAATTGTGCATGTCTTTCAAAATCCACCCCCATAATTTACAAACCTAGAGCCTCTTGAACTTGTGCGTAGCAAATATTACACGAGAACTCCTAATGTCTAAAAGAATCATCTTCCAATTCTATGAAGAGGTTCACATGACTAGAACCGTAGGGACATAGTATAATCATTATAGTAAAACAAAAGGAGCTGATGAACAAAATTGCTGCTAATTGATCAGGATCCACAATTTTTTTGTCTCTCTAACCAATAGCTTGCTTCCAGCATTAATTCCTTAAGAAAGAACACAGGAAGTACATCTTCCTCGTACAGCAAGAATGAACTAGCAGTCCTAGCATTGCCAACCAAAAAAGTGCCAATACCCACTCACTCCACCATATTTTAGCAGAATGAACAAAAGTTCAGCTCAGATCAGTGTCTCCGAAGCCTAATCAGCTAGAGCGCTTTTACCAATCTCAGAAGCTTCCCACAATCCCATTCCTCAGGAACTGAAAACACAGTCCACATCTCACGTCTCTCCGGAAAGGGGAAAAAAATGAGCAGGAAAAACCAAACCGACACTTCATCTAACGCATCCACAGACGATCGCAGAGATCCAGATATCAATATCCAAAACAACAGGCGCATTACACATTTCCATGCTCGAGTGACCATGGACTTACGATGTTGCCAAGAGCGATGACGTTGAGAAAAGAGGCGCTGCGCTTAGACGACGAGGAGCTCTCGTCGACGTCCTCATCGGCGAGAAGCGCCGACGCCTGCCGCATCGAGTCCGAGAGCTGGACCAACTCATCGATCGCCTCCATGTTCGACTCCGATCGGGGAAGCACGCGCGCGAGCGAAGCAGGATCGACCGCGATTCCTTCACCGGGGGAGGCGATCAGATCATGAACGGACCAGAGCCCACCGACCGACCGACCGACCGATCGATCCGAATCTGACGCGGAGATCTGCGGGAGCGCCGGCCGTAGGGTTCCGGCGAGGCGCCGGGCGGATTCGAGGGAGCTCGCCGCCGCGCGCGCGCGCGAGAGATCGGAGATCGGGAGAGAGAATCGGAGACCGCTGACGTTGACGAAACGGATTCGGAGACCAGAAATTTCAAACTCAAAGGCAGGCGAGGAACAGAAATGCGAAATGCAACCCTCCTCCTCTCTCTCTCTATCTCTCTCCCTGAGACGGACAGACGCGCTTGCGATCTGAGGAAATTAAAAGATTGTGGAGGTTTTGCTATTCCGTCCCCGTGGTTTCGAATAATTGGCGCGAGTGGCCGCGCACTTTCCCTTAATTGCGTTTCCCTCTTTTGCGGATGAGCCCCCGTATTTTCCGTTCATTTCTCTTTTCTCTGGTGAAAATGATTCTAGGGATAACGACACAAGCAGTCCATAAACTTTGACTCAATATGTAATGTGGTCTCTAAACTTTTAATTTATTCAATGTAATCCCTGAACTTTAAGTTAATATTCAATGTGGTCCCTGAACTTTTAATTTGTTCAATATCATCTTTGAACTTTTGGTACATGTTCAATTCAGTTCCTGAACTATATGAAAATATTCAATATAGTCCCTGAACTTGAATTAATGGAAATGATTGCATTGAATATTTTCATATAGTTCAGGGACTGAATTGAATATGTACCAAAATTTCAGGGATGACATTAAACATATCAAAAGTTTAGTTACTACATTGTACATTAGGTTGAAGTTCAGGGATTACATTGAATAAATTAAAAGTTCATGAATCAAATTGTATATTGATTCAACGTTCAAGGACTGTTTATGTTATTTTGCCATGATTCTACTTTTTTTTTTTTTGGTCGAACCATGATTCTACTTTCAAAAGATGAGTTTTTTCCTCTTTTAGAAAGGGGGCTTCGATGGTCACACACGGTTTAGGAAAGAAGGGGAAGAAGGGGACGGACAAAACTAGGACAGAAAGAATTTTACATTTGTTATTTTAACGAAAAGGAAGGAAAAAATAAAAAAAAATTCTCTTATTTTTCATTTCTCCCCTTTCATTATTTTAGGGCTAATTCCAAAAAAAAAACATCAATTTTACTTTGAGTGACAATTCTTTTTTTTTTGTCTCAATAAAAAGCACTAACTTTTACTCGAGTCCCAAATCTAACCCCCGTGATGTAAATTTTTCAAATTATTCGAACCAGATTTTGGATTTAAGTAAAAGTTTGTGATTTTTTATGAGATAAAAAAAGTTCGGTCCGGAATTGTCACATAAGGTAAAGTTTGTGTTTTTTCCGGGAATTAGGCCCATTATTTTATGTTTGTAAGCAATGTGTAAAAACAAAATGAGTAGAAAATGCGTCTTTTTTTAAAAAAATTTCTCCCTCTTCCTTCTTGTAAAAATATAAAAATTTTCAAAATTGTTTATATGCAAATTTTCCTTCCTCCATTTCTCCCTAACATAACATTAATAGAGTTCTAGACAAAGCATCTCATAGTAATATACAGGGTGAAAATTATACAACACCAAAAGGGACGATATGGTTTTCTTTAATGGCCTCGACGCCATCATAATTAGTTACTTAACCCGCACTTTGCATGGGCATGTTTATATACATATTTTCGAATCATTAGTAATTCGGTACTGTGAGATGTGAGATAAGAAAAAAAGACGAGATTTCATATAAATAGTTTTGTAGAAGAGTATACTTTATGAAGGCCCGAGATTAATGCATGGCAGAAAATAAGCCAGAACGTTAAAGTTTCAGGGGACACAAATTATAAATACGGATGATTTTTCAGTTAAAGAGACTGTATCGAAATATGTCTCTTTAAAAAGTGAAAAAATAAAAATAGGTAAAATACAAATGTTCTGTTTTTTTTTAATAAATTGCAATGTAATCTTTTTTTTGGTCAAATATTTTATTGCAAGTATGAAATAATTTTTCATATTTTTGTAAAATTAAAGTAAAGCGAGTTATTTATTCCATCTCATATCTTCATAATAATTTTCTATTGGATTAAATCAAATTAATCAGAGAAAATCAATTATGTAATTATGTTTTAGTTAGTACTCATGTATCTATGAACATGTCTATTTAGAGTGAGATTTAATGTCATAAATTTTTCTATTTAAACTTTTTTTATAAATAATTTGATTATAAGATACTAATTAAGTGAGATGGATGTAAACAAAGTAGGCCACGTTCGATTCTAAGCAAAAGTGAATCTTTTAATTAAGTGAGATAGATGTAAAGAAATACGCTATTAATTGTTTCAAATGACCGATATATACTTTTTCTAAGCAAAAGTGAATTTTTTCAAATTGCCAATAGACATGCGACTCTGCTAATAAAGGGATTAAAAGGATGAGGATGCTAATATCATAGGTGTGGGATTCGACTTTCGCACTCTGCAAGAAGCATAGTAAAAGTCAGAGAGTGACAGTTGAGTTAGAGATAGGACAGACAAAAAAAAAAAAGATTTAATCAAATAACATAAGTTATAGTTTCGAATCATAGATAATAGACTTAAATATGGGCATAAGTTTTTAAATTAGATGGATTCTCGTAAATTCACTACTGCAATTCTTAAAAAAATCAACATCATTTAAGTATCACTTAAAGATATTTTTATCAACTTATTAAAGGTTAAACTTAAAATATTTGAATTGTAGATAAAAAAACATAAAGGCTGTATTACTAAAATTAAAACTCATAACTTTGTCTTTATTCGTATTTTCCAAGTTAATTGAATTCCTTTATTCATTGCAATTTTTTGGATGCGCAATTAGTGCATGAACTTCTCTCAATAATCACTCCATGAGAGCCCCAAACACTTAGGGGTGATTGGTTCCGAATTAAAAACCTGGAATCTATCCTATCAAATCGATCCCCGATTTTTGGAACCGATAATCGATGCAGTTTCCTTGAGAACAAGTTTGGAACTAAACCGGTCAAATTCTAGAGTCTAACTCGTGAATTAATATGTGGCATGGTAGATAAGGTATCGACGGATTTTCGAGGCTTCTCATCTCCAATATATCAATCTTTCTTTTAACAAACTAAATACCGACCCGTTCGAGGCCGGTTCCCCATGTTGTTACCGGTTTCATTTCTCGGGTAATTTTCGCATATTTCTTTTCACAAATCTGAATATACTTTTTTTCTTGGGAAGTGGATTAATAAACAAAACATGCTGGAAATACAACTTAGATGCATTGAACTCAATCAAATGGTAATTCAAGCGGAACGAGAGAGAGAGAGAGAGGGAGAGGGAGGCCAAATCGCATGAAAATCGCAGGAGATTTGTTGGGCTGCGAATATTCACTGTCCACGTTCAAATCTTGACCCACCAACTTCTCTCTCTCTCTCTCTCTCTCTCATGCATTCCCGAGTGTAAAACGCGACGACGTGACTCTCATGATCTTGCATTCGATTCATCGTCATCTCGCCTCGTACATGAACGCCGCAATAGATTTATTGCACTCCAAAGCACGTTCGAACCTGTCGTCCTCTCTCTCTCGTGTGGATTCATGAGTGTAAACGCGGCGGCGACGTGACTCTCATCGTCTTGCGTTCAATTCGTTATCTTTGCTCTCCTCTTGCCTTGTGGAAGATACCCTCTTCAGGAACTGTGCCATCGACGAGCCTCGAGATCTCTACCGTCTTCTTCGACTTGGACGCCATGGCCAGGGTCGCGCCCAGAGTTTTTCGATCCCCTCCTTCCGCAGTAACTGGTCACGGCAATCACGCAGGGTTCTTTTAAGGTTCTCGAGTGGAGTGCATCTTGAATAGAGGAATGGAGGTCTTGTCTCAATACATCCCTTCATTTTCCTTTTGAAGATCACCGTTTGATCATCTCATAAGTGAAGAGTGTGTTTTGATAATGGCTCTTGCATGACCAATTGGATCCTTGAGCCAATGTATGTGAAGATCGGCGCTTGATATATGCGATAATCTTGAATTCGCAGTCATGGAATAAGAGCCTTAGTTTGGCATAGTGGGCAATGCAAATCAGATTCTTTGAGTGTTGGCATGAATCGGGTCACTTCATTAGGCAATTGAGGTTCTTGATGTCAGATTGAACAAGCCCTTCATTGATTTGGGTGAAATAAATCATCTTGGTGTTTGTTGGAATCTGGAATGAATAGAGAGATTATGGCTAGAAGCAGGGGAGAGAAAGAAGATTCCGAAAAGCACGCCGGGTTGCTAAAACTCGTGCAGATCCTATCTTCTCTGGTCATCTTTGTCGCCGGCATTATAATTGGCCTCACGACAAGCTCTCACATGAATAACTATTTTGCTTCTCAGACAGAACTGTTTTTCTCTACTAACCATGTCTCAGCTTCGATGGCCAGTCCTGAGAAGAATTGTACCCCATGCGAGAAGGTGGATTGTTTAAGCATGGAAACTTTCTTGTATCCTAGGAACTCGACTCATGGCATGTCAGACATCGAGCTCTTGTGGAGAGCATCAATGGTCCCGAGAAAGCGGGACTACCCTTTTGCTAGAGTGCCTAAGGTGGCTTTCATGTTTCTGACTAGGGGGCCGTTGCCGATGCTGCCACTGTGGGAGAAATTCTTCGATGGCCAAGAGAGCCATCTCTATACAATCTATGTGCATGTGCTTCCCGGGTACAAGCTCAATGTGTCGAGCACTTCTCCATTCTATGGACGGCAGATCCCAAGTCAGGTAACTGCACAACAGATTTTCACGCTTTTATGATCTTTTATTGATCTCAAATTTTGATTGGTGATTCTTTACAAGCAAAGATAAACATGACCACATGAAGGAACTTGCGGTTTCGAGCGATGGTCTTAAGTAATTTATTTGCTGACCTCTTTATCATCGATCCTTTTTCCAGAAAGTTGCATGGGGAACGGTACAACTCGTTGATGCTGAGAGGCGACTTCTAGCAAATGCCCTGCTCGACTTCTCTAATGAGCGGTTTGTTCTGCTTTCTGAGAGCTGCATTCCGGTCTACAACTTTCCCACGGTGTATAAGTATCTCACTGGTTCAGACCACAGCTTCGTGGAGTCGTATGATGATCCATCTCGTTATGGACGTGGTCGTTACAGCCGCAATATGCTTCCTTACATTAGGCTCCACCAGTGGAGGAAAGGGTCTCAGTGGTTTGAGATGAATCGCAACTTGGCAGCTTATATAGTGTCCGACACCAAGTATTACTCCCTCCTCAAGAAGTACTGCAAGCCTGCTTGTTACCCGGATGAGCATTACATCCCAACTTATCTCAACATGTTCCATGGATCGAAAAACTCGAACAGGAGCGTCACTTGGGTCGATTGGTCACTGGGTGGTCCGCACCCTGCTACTTTTAGGGAATCTAACATAACGGAGGATTTTATTCGTTCTATTAGAAATAATGCTACGCACTGCTCGTACAATTCAGGAAAGACATCTCTTTGTTACCTCTTTGCTCGGAAGTTTGATCAGAGCACGTTGGTGCCTTTGCTCAACCTCAGTTCGATCGTGATGGAGTTTTAGCTGTGTCAGTTCAGTGAAGAGACTATATCGTCTGCACATGTATTAGGACCCTCCCTAGTAGGTCTTCCGAGTTCAGGCGGTTTCGGCCAAAAATTTTGGATTATATCTGGTCTCGCAGACATTGAATGAGATTCCTGTTTCCTTTTTCAGGCACATTGTAGTGGCTTCTGTCATGATCTACAAAACTGAACCGTTCCAGGTGATAATTGCAACAGATTGTCATTACCTGACAATTGATGTTGTTGAAGCGCTCGTTGGTGCATATAGCACCAGTGGCGCAATCACAGGCTCTATGTTGGTGCATATGGTACCAGAGGTGCAATCATGGCTCGTCCATTGGGTGGGCTTTCGATTAAGTAGATCTAGCCATCACCACATACAAGCGCAACATTCGTGTAGGACCTGACAAGCTCATTAACATTAAGCATTGGAAGGGATGCTCCTCAGCTGGTGGAGTCGGGCGCTGACTCATGGATATACGCTTTCAGTCGTCCAAGATATTGCCAGGTTCTTCAATTGTCAATTCTCCTCCATTCCTGATGGTAGTCACTCGTTTGTGCCGATATTCATGATTCATGAACATACTAACAAAGCAGCAAAGTCATTCAGTTGCATGTACCTAGGATTTATCTGTTAGTGCTTCCACCAACCAGAAGAGAAGGATCATGAGATGAGTTGCTCAAGAGGGGCTGCATATGCTTGATGGTAGCGAGCTTCTTTGGTTTTAGTTGGAAGTTCATGAGTAATGACTGATGGCTGTATCATCTGGTTTAATGCTTGTCCAACCCTTGTACAAGAATCCAGATTCTTTCAATTCTCAGTGCCAAAGTATGTACCAGAAAGTGCATCTACAACGTTAGTGAGCTTTTTTCTTCTTAATGTCATTCTCTCTCGGATGTAAAAGTTCATCTTGTTTCGGCAAATTGACAATTGCAATCCTCTGGACTTATCTCTATAAATCATCTGAGTTTGGGGATTGAGAAAAGGATTATTTCTTCTGTCTAGTTTAGACACTGCTTTAGGCACATTGTAGTGCCTGCTCAAAATATTTCGATTAATTACTAGTTGGCACGGGGTGAAGGAATGGCCTTCTTCTTGTGGCCCGGGAATGGTGAAAAACCCCGATGTGCTTGTCCGATTCAGATGGCGGAAGAAACATGTGTTTAACAACATAAATGTCAAGTTGGTAAAATATTGTGCAGCCATGGGCTTGAAGACCAAAAGGTAAATTTGATGTTTCTTCTTCCAAAATATAAAAAAGCTCAAACTGAAGGTTCAAGTGTAAGTTTCCAACTTCATTGGAGGTTTGATGACCATGTAGGAATTGCTGTAAACTATTTGGCCAAACTTATATTAGACCCCCAAAATTGCCTGACACTCGCATATTCTCTTCCATCAACCCACTTTTAGTATGGCTAGAAGCATAAGGATACTAATGACAGATTACCACTCGTTATGATCCACGCTTACAACTTCTTGGACACCCTCTACTTCATTCTTTTCTAGTGGAACTAGGCTGCACGCTTTCAACTGAGCTGGTGCAGGACCCCCACGAATTTGCTCCATCACTTGGGAACCCACGAGGCTTTTAAGTTGTTGTAGCGCGTAGGCCATATCCCTTCAATATGTACGCTCAAATCACGAACTTGGTGGAAGAATATGGTCTCCACAGAAGCAAGAGGAGAAATCAATATTCTACCAATAATCTAGGCAAGAACATGTTCCGTCTTTAAAATGGTGGAATCTACTGCCATCTCTCACTACTATTTGCCTCCCAAAGACCTGCGAGATCACCTTGGTCACCTCATGACAATCCGCACAAACCCTCAAGTTCTTCACGATCCGAATGCAATCACCATCTTTTGCAACTAACAATCCAAAAGCAATTGCCAACCTCTCGCTATGCACCTTGATTGCATTTTCCTTCTCTTCCACTCCAATGTCATGCAAAACTGATGAAACGTCAGGTGAATACCCAGCTTCTGTGATTCGTGCTTCGATAATTTCAAGCATCCTGTAAATCTCTGATGCAAGTTCGTGCTGTCTATCCCCAGCAACAAATCTATGTACTCTCCCCTGCGCTTCAATCAAGCTCCAACCAGCAACTTTATTGGCATTTCGCTCAGCCATTAGTCTTCGGACTCTAATTACATCTGCCCATTTGCTTGCCTTAGCATATATGTTTGATAGTTGCACATAATGCCCCTCATGGGTGGGATCCAAGTTTACAAGTTTGCTCCCTATCTTTTCACCTAGTTCTACTAAGCCATGGACTTTACAGGTGCCGAGCAATGTCGCCCATAAGACTGGATCTGCTGAAACTTTCATGTTTTCAATCAAATCCACAGCTTCATAAATGTGACCTGCACGACTTAGGAGATCGACCATGCATCCATAATGTTCCATCTCAGGTTCGATTCCATATTTCTCTGTCATCAACTTGTAATATTGCCTACCTTCCCTAACCAGACCTGATCGACTACAAGCGTTTAAGACCCCCACAAAAGTCACACTCGCTGGTTGGAGACCTACAGATAAGAATCCTTCGAAGAGCGCGAGAGCTTCCTTTCCAAGGCCATGGGAGGCCAATCCACAAATCATGGCATTCCACGACCAAATGTTTTTTCGTGGCATTTCATCGAACACGAGTCTAGACAGTTCGATGCTTCCGCATTTTGCATACATATCGACCAGAGCGGTCCCAAGAGAGACTGTAACTGGGAGATTTAACGAGCTTACGACTGAATGTACGAACCGACCGTGCTCAAGCAAGCCCAGTTGAGCTGAAGCCGAGAGCACTGAGACCAAGATGGCCTCATTAGGCATCAGACCGCACTCTCTCATCTCCATAAAACACTCTAATCCCCTTTCCAGCTCACCATTTTGAACGTAGCCAGATATCAAAGCAGTCCAAGAAACAACATCTCTCTTGGGCATTTCATCAAAAAGTTGCTTAGCAACGTCAATCTGCGCATCTCTCGCGTATCCCGCCACCATCGAATTCCACGTGACGACGTCTCTGCAACCAGGGAGCTCGTCGAACAACCTCCCCGCAGCGCCCATTTCAGAGCAAGCGCAATACAGGTGAACCAAAGCGTTCCTCACGTACAGATCCCCGCAAAAACAGAGCTTCACGGCATGACCGTGGACCTGCCTCCCTTCGAACAAGCCCACGCCCTTCCCGCAAGCCTGCAGCACGAAAGTGAAGGTATGCTCGTTGGGTCTCACCCGCCGCCGCCGCATCGACGCGTAGACGGAGACCGACCCGAGAGGGAGATCGCTCCGGGCGAGGCAACGGATCACGTTATTCGAGGCGAAGACCGACGGGGGGTCGATGCTGCGGTAGAGGGCGAGAGGATAGCGAAGAGGGGTCGGCGGCGGGGCGAGGGAGAGGCGGAGGAGGAGGTCGCCCAGGAGGCGGTTCTTGGTCCCGACGGCGGCGGCGGCGGGGTGGCCGGAGAGGACGATGATGCGGGCGTGGGCCTGCTTGATTTGGGCGAGGGAAGGGCGTGGCGGGAGAGACAGGGATGCGCTGTGGACGTGGTTGAGGAGGGGAGGGAAACGGAGGAGGGGTTTGAGTTCTGGTCTGCAGGTGGACAAGAACATGTCACGAGTTCGAAAACGAGAAGGCGCTTCTGTTTTGGTCTCTTGAAAGTGAAGAAGATGGAGGCAGTTAGCACTAACGATTACAGCAAACCATACGAAAAAGAAGAAAAGAAGGAGAGGAAGTCACTCCACATTTCAAGAAAATCCAAGAACCATTTTGAAAATTGGGAAAATTTTATTTTAGTTATATGTAAAGGTTAGTACTAAGATCGTCCGACCTAACGCGTCGCTCGGCCCATCAAGCCTGCAAGGCTCGGGGCATGAATAAGTAAAATTTGAGCGAACAGTTTTCTTCCTGAGCTCGAGTTTGGTCGTTAAGGCCTCCTTAGATTTATGTTGGCAAAAAGTAAAATATCTTCATAATAATGGGTAATTCGAATAGATGCTTTCATGGTATGTTAACCCTGTTTAGACTTGCTCGTCGATCAAATCTACTAAAGAAAGATATATTTAAGTAACTTCACATTAATAAAGTAAATATAATGTAAATATTGCTAATTAAGGACATACGAATAGTTGCTTCCTTACGTGGATATATTGTTGACAAATTACTATTAGCATGTAGAATCTCAATTTCACCGGTACACGTTGATAATTTGGTGTGAAATCACTATTAGCATATTGACTCCATTAAGAAGTTATTAGATAGGTTAAAAGTTAAATAATCTTGTATAAAATTATCAATCGCTGGTAAGTATTCCTTCCCGAAAAGGCAAATAATGAAAAAATTTCTAACCACTATTAGAGTCTGTGGTCATCTTATTTTTATTTTTCCCACTTTTTTCATTATCTAATTATATTATCTCTACATATCTACCTAATCATGGTGTCAATCTCTCTCTATATTTTTTCTCCTCAAAGAACTTTCATAGTTTATATTACTTAATGTTTTTCTTATTAAAAATTGATTCTTTAACGGAGTGAAGTCTAATGGGATTGCTAAGTAAAATATACAATGCATGCATCCCGTAACCTTACTCTATACAGAACACTATAATTTTGATATCCATCGACCGCGAATAAACATGGTCTACATTTTTTACGGCAAGACGGACCCGTCAAACAAAGAGTACAGTCTATTTATAACTTCACCTAGCCTTTCTTTGTAACTCTTTTCTACTTGTCCAATGCCAGGCTCCCCTTTAATTTCTTTGAAGGTGCAATCCTTTAAATGGCCATTTATTGTTGTATGGCGTGATAAATATAATGATAATACTCTAATAATTTGGCCATATCGACCTTCTTTAGTATCGTAAACACCACCTCTCCTTATGCAATGTTGAATCAAATGTAGCTTCTCTTAAATATCACACGATATGTTAATGTCCCATTTAAGTGATGGTTAAGCATATCATTACCAATCAAAAGTATGATCAAGGAAATTATGGCCCTTTCGATTAAAATCTAAAGAAGCATTTCATTCTACATCACTATTCTCGCGAACTCTTCCCTGGTAAATGCAGGATTCTTGGTGCTATCCGAGAGATAGAAGCACATCTTCTATGCTCAGTCATCAGCCTACAAAATTTCACTTCAATATGTTCGATCCTCAAATTTAGCTCCGACGTCCACAATCCGCTCGGCATTATGCATTCACCCAGCCTAGGAACGGCATGGAAGATATGCCTACAATCGGATAATCAAAATACCCTCGTCAAAAGTTCCTATGAATGGAAGAAGCGTCTCTTACGACCGGCGAAGACACCGGCTGCTCCCTGATACGCGATAAGAGGATGGAGACCTGCTCGGTTGCGATGTCTAGCCTCTCCTTGGACTTGGCTGACTCCGATATGAGATTCGATACCATGCTTTGGAGTAACTGTATTCTTTCCGCGTGATCGCTCGGAGCATTATGAAGGAGCTTCGACGAAGATGTACTGATCTTCCGCCATCGGAGGGGGAGATACTTATCGGGTATTTGGAAACAATTCCCAGTGTAGAGGACTCGAAGCGCATGCCGGCGCAGAATTCCAGAAAACTCGAATAGATGGCAGCTGCAACTTATGATGCCCTCCTGTGGGATCCAATAAACCCTCCGCCTTCCCTCGAGGTTTGTGTGGTGCCTCATGAGAAAGCCGTCTTCCATTTGGAAGGATGCATAGTGGGCCGCAAGACAAGTTGCTCTTGGAGCTTAGAGAAAGCAAACGGAGTGAGGACCGTCGCGGCATGGGATTCCATGGGCGCTCCTGTCTTTAAGGAGATGTTTTGGAGATTTTGTTGCATTGTTTGCTGCTCTCCTGCTTGATCTTTAAAATCGACTGCAACAGCCACCTACATCAACAAATTCAAAGGTTCAGTCAACAGAGGGAAAACAGACTAATGCCACCAACAGTTCCCCGAGGTTCCATTTTGGGGGGGGGTGTGTTCGGGGGAATGCCAATAATCCGCTGTCATCACCTGAAAGAACAGCCCGTCTGAAGAGCATTATGTACACATTTTTGTAGACGAATTCCACTTGTACACAGACTCGATCGACTAATCGTCATCCGAAGCGAGCTTTTGCTTTTTCCATTTGTAAGCAGCTTCCAAGATTTTGAAATTTGTGGACTGGGTCTCCTCAGGGAACAAGTAGTCTATGTATTCCTCATACCTGAAATTCAAGAATATCAGACAAGCTCCAAAGGGCTGATCGAAGAGGACAGTTACAAATAGAAACTGACAAAATAGGTATGCCTTGTATCAGACACATTACACCCCAGCTTGCAGAAGCATTGGCTCAACAAGATTCTATCAATATAGACACCAAGATTTGGCCCGGGAATTGAAAAAAACATAGACATCAACACAAAGAACTGCATTACAGCAGAAATTAAAATCCGAAACCAGAAAGAGCAGAACCCAACAGACGACTCACTGGACCTATCATTGATGGGCATAACCAAATTTAGTACTCACTATGGGGGGCATCTCACACAGATAGACCAACAAGCATGAATCAAAATGAACAAAAAGGACAGCACTAAATCAGGAAGTCAGTGAGTGATACCCAACAAACTACGGTCGAGAACCAATTAAAGAGAGATATGCTTAAAAATCAATATAAGGACATCTTCGTTGACAAGCATCAAATGTAGCAAAGAGAAGAAATAAGCGACAACAGAAATCAGTTACATACCCAGCTGGACCGTCCTCAGCCAAAATCGGCCTCTTCTTCTTCAGCTTCTTTGGCAGTTTAGGCTGGACAATGCCAACATCACCAAGTTCACCAAAACTGCTCTCCATGTTTAACCACTCCTCCAGTAGCATTGCCCTTTCTTCTTTAAGTTCGGGAGTTTACGTTCTGAAGTAATTAATGGCTCTTTCAAAGACTCCTGAAGCATTTCCAAAGAGGAAATAAGAATATATCAATACTCAAACCACAAAAGGGAAAAAACCGCAGTTTAAATTGCAACTGAGCACTCACTTCTGGCATATTGTACGCATTCCCTTTTTTGTTCCAACAGATGTGATTGCAATTGATCTTCTGACAAATCTGAATTAAGGGCATCCGCAGCCGTTGCCTCAAACATAGCATAGCTGATCCACCCTTTCAGGTGCTTAGTCCGATCTAATAATCTCTCGTATAGCTCTCTTGTTCGTTGAAATTCTCCCTCAGATATCTCAAAATCAATGCATGCCTGTTATCAAAAGACAACTACAATTACTACCGTATATTCTCCCAATTAAACAGCACACATCAACAGTAACTTAAAAAATACAACTCTGTGAGTCATTATAATTGCCTCTGCGGTCATCAAGTCGGAACCTTAGAGCCCTATAAAACTTAAAATCATATCAAGGACAGGCCATGTAAACCTCTATTAATAAGAAATTGTGCCACTCAGCAATTGTGCTGGCAGTCAACTAATACAGAGAACAACAGAATAAAAATGGATAAGATAGGACTGAAACACCACCCTACAGATCCACATAGAGACATACGCTGTTTAAGTAGTTGTAAGCCTTTAACACAATAACAACAATGGTAAACATGCATTAAGATCACATCGGGCAAATTCATTGGCAAGCGCCCATTATAAAATAACATAAAAGTGACGAGTTTGAGAGTAGAACCCTAGGTTAACTCAATTTTATATCAAAAAATAACATACTAGCATAGGCTTGGAATGAATATGGTCTTAATTGTTCACGTATAGTTTTGCATTTTGCATTTGAAATTTGATTTTTGGCCAACATTGAACACCTCAAATTTTAAAAGGACACGGACATGTACATCATTTGGAGATGTATGTTTTCATGATTCTTGCAAAATATAACAATATTTTTCCCTTTTGACCTTAAGTCACGCATATTTTGGGTAAGTAAAACAAAAGGCAGGCCTTTACCTTCCATAACAGTTCGGGCATGTCAAGTGCAGGCTGTGCAATCGCTACTTCAAAAACGGCTCTAGCTCGGTTGGTTTCTCCCAAGGATATCTCCAATTCAGCATACTTGCTCCAAGCATAACAGTTCTCTGGAGACCACTCCAAGTATTTCTCATATAGTTTTCGGCATCGGTCTATGTTGCCAAGTTGCAGCTCTATCTCAATGTATTTTTTAAATATCTATTAATAACCAAGCACAACAAAGAAACTTGTTTAGAAAAGGACGGGGAGGAAAAACTGAAGGACAAGAATGACAGGAAACTTAGAGACTAGTCTCTCTCGGTGAAAACTTTATCCAATCTATATTACCTTATCTTTAGGAGCATTGCCAATTGCATTGCCTAGGATCTGCCTTGCACCCGTAAGATTCATTTGTCTAATCTCAAATTGAGCCGCTAAGAGCCAAATTTTGGCAAATGAAATTTCTGTTGAGGAATCAGTTTGAGACACTCTCTGCAAGATTGAATGAGAAAGCTCCATCAGTAATAAGACTAGTCTTCAATGCTGGAAAGAGAGGGAACAAAAAGACAAAATGAATACTTGGGGTTACATGCATTCAAACCCTCACAATCATGGCTTCCATGCTACAGACTTACATATATCTGTATATTTAAGCCAAAAAGTGGGTTTTGTGTC